ATTTGAACGAGGTATTATGTAGCTAAGAGATATTAGTATTCCTATACCTATAATATATGCACGAAGCGACGAATTGGGGTCAGGACATTATTTTCGGGTTTTCATAATGACCGGGATGAAACACTGAAAGGGTCAGCCGGCCACCAAGGAGGTAGGAAGATTTCAATATCTTCATTCATCGACTGAAAATGCGTTGGTGAAGTATTCCGTGAAATAGGAACCAAAGCCAGACCTTTCTTCCCGGTGCACGCGATCACCTTTCCAGCACGCCGTCCTTCGCTGTTAACTAATGAGCCAGTAACCATACCTGAACAAGATTTAAAAATAATTTGAAAGTGTTAATGGAGAAAGAGATGAGAAAGCGAAGAGCAAGAAGAATGAGGTTGGTCACGGAATCAACTGGGAATTTTTAATGTTGTCATCATAACATTAAAAAACGACTGCGGAAGTCTGTTTAAGTTCACAAAATTTGTAAATCATGATGCGATGAATATATGGTCAAAGAAAAAATCGACTGCTCACCTCTGCATGTGAAAGGCAAAAGGCGCTTCCGTATTTCTGGTGCGTTTAACGCACGGGCTGTCAATTCCTGTCCTAAGTAACATCCTTTATTAGCACTGAAATATATAAAATTATCAGTACTACAATAATGAGGATATTTAAAAAAGAAAAAAAACTTGAACAAAGTGATACCAGCCTTAAAGATACTAATCTTACTAAGTTCAGACGATAAGACAAGGTAAGGATGAAATCTAACGAAAGAATGTAAGAGTGAGTAAGGAATAAAAGCAGAACAGTGTTTCATACTTAGAAAACATTTGCAAAATACCTATATCTATATGCATACCTTTTAATGGAAGTAAGGTCGTTGAATAAAGGACACAAAGGACATGTTGAGAAGAATCAAAATTACATTATTACAGACCTTACGCCATTCATAATATCGGCATTCATGAATAGTGGAAGTTCACCAGCTAATTCACTCGGTCCTTCTGGTATACCAAAATTAAAACGTCTTTCTCGGTATGCATGCTCGTCTACTGTTTGATCATCTGGAAGCTAAAAACTAATAAACACTAGTAATTGCTTCTCTAATAATAATGTATTTTAAATGTTTGTAATTCCATCCTCATCAACAAAAACTGAAACATTGCATTAAATTTATGGAAAGAAAAAGACTTTTTAACGGAATATTTATAAAGTGTTATTACCTGGCAGAATTTTGCTAAGAATACGTTTACCAAAGGATGGCACTCGTGGATCTTGAATGCCAGGAATATCATTCGTTATGCTGTCAGTATGATAAACACAGCTTTCTGTTTCTTCTTCGATTGTCACATCTTTGTGCACTTTGAACATTTCAAACAATTTCCGCAATTTCGATTGGTTATTTCGATCACTTTCAATTAAAATTTCACCTGCTTGTCGATACAAAATCAAATCTTCCACAATACGGCCACGGCTGTTGAGTAGCAAAGCATACTGTGCACGGCCATCTGCTAAACGCCTAAATTATTACTTTCATCAATTTATTTCACACTTGCAAAGCCAAACACAAGTTTAAGTTTTTCACTTAATACTCCGTAACATACCGACTTGCGGAACGATCCTTAGCATATCAAGACTGTTCTCTACAATTCCTCATTAAACAACTACTGGTACCGCTGATTGCAGTAGAAATCTTACACAAAGATGATTTTACCTAATACTCTGCACGTATAATCACGTGACTTTGCAAAGACGCATACAACACTATGTATATAACAATTGTAAAAATTGTTATATATATATTTTGTTATATACACTATGTTATATACATTGTTATATACACTATG